AGAAAGACTCTCGCGAAGGGAAGCTGGCCGCGAACTGGGAAGGGCCTTATCGCGTCCACGGCACCACTGGTACCGGGGCGTACTACCTCAAGAAACTAGACGGAGAGCCACTACCACGACCCTGGAACGCTGCTAAACTAAAGCAGTAATATAGTTAAAAACCACCAACACTGAGGACCCTCGACTGTCGACTCCCGCACCCAGTCAACGAGGAGAAACGTTCGACCCCCGTAGAGAGGCCGAGGTATAGGCCCGACCTACGTCCAAACCGCATAACATCGTTCAACAAAACAAGAACAAACGATAGTGCCCGACGTGGACACCTCTACCGAGCTCCACCGTCGAAGTACCTGTAGGGCAGAACACCCAGCTCGCGATGGGCAGTTCACGCTGCGGGCAAATAACCCCGACCGGGTCATATACCCGACCAAGCGGCTTCGCTCCGCATGCCCGACGAATCTCGAAGAACGTCGGGCCATCTAAAAGGGTCAAAAAGGAGTCTCTCCCCTCGAGTTCACCACTCAGGCGACTCCGGCCATCGAGAAGAGGCCGAGCACATACACGAGCAAAAGACTTAGGCAAATTTGCCAACAAAGGCACAACCATATACGGGCACGACTCGGGCCCATAACTTAGGCCAATTTTTGCGCAAAAACGTAAAACACAAGCACGGGCAAACAATCAAAAGATTGAAACAAACATTCATTCAAAATGCCCGTAGGCGACAAAGCAAATAGATGTAAACCGACCAAAAAGGCCGGCAATGTTCAGGAAATACAAAGAACGGGCACGCAGGCCCAAAAAATGCGAACGGGCACGCAGGCCCAAAACAAACATCAACGAGGCGCACAGGCCCCATCATTACCTCACAACTCAGCTTCCCCAGAGCTACCATCACCGACAATAGGAGAGTCGGGCGGAGGCACGACCTGACCATCAATAATCTGAGACATATGGCTCACCCCTTCAGTGTTCAGGCCGGGATTCAACAGGGAAAGCTGGCTGACCGCGACTTCAAAGCCGTCCGCCATAGCTTCGACACAGTCCCCCTCGAGAAGTTGGATACGAGCGACCAATTCCGATCGACTCCTCAAAGGAGCTGTATCCTCCGACTCGTCCTCGACAGGAAGCATAGCGGCCTTTAGGTCCTCGATCTCTCTGGCGAGGCGCCCGTTATCAATTTCCAGACGTTCCCGGTCCGCACGAAAAAGGTCTCTCTCCTCGGCCAGCTTCCCCGAGTTCTCCTTCTCCAGAGCCAGCAACTTTGTCCCCGCCGCCAGCAGCTCGGCTTGCTCGCGGAACATCTCCTCGGAGCGCTCCAGAGTACCCTTCAACTTTCGCAAACTCGAGGTGAGGGCATCTTTCTTCTGTTCCAACTCTTTTATACGGTCAGCGTCCTCCCCCTCCTCGGCCAGCACAACGGCCATCTCGGCCATCTTTACCAGCCCGACCATATTGGAGGCCAGGTGCCTTCTCCGGTTTTCCTTGCTCATCCGCCTGATAGTTTCGGCTTCATCAGCACTCACGGACAAGGGAAACCCCTCGAAGAAACCCTCCTCTTTAAAGCAAGGGGGTAACCCGAAGGACCTCACGGCACTGGAGTCCTCCCCGACCTCCGGTTGGCTTTCCACTCGATTCCTCTTCCTCTGTATCAGGTTGGTGTGTGGCTCGACCTCCTGGATGTCCGGGATCCCTCCCGAAGCAGCTCCCGAGCTAGGTGGCGAGTCCACCCTCGTCGCTTGAGAAGTGCCCGGACTATGTGGCGGGCCCATCCTCGTCGCCTGAGGAGGTCTCACCACCCTCTTATTTACCTTCCTGTCACAGGATAACTTCAAGAGCCTCTCCCTCCGTCCGACCATCAGACCTGCATGAAAGAACCCCGGGTTAGTGACGAGCAAACAAGCAAACAAATAACAAGTAAAGAAATTCAAACAAGACAAAACAATAACGACCTAGCAAATTCGCAGCCTGCCCGAAGGACTGGCACTCCACAAGTGCCTTCGTGTCAATCGGTCGGGCCTCGAAGGTCGGATAACCTTCCTCGTCCAGAATATCCTCCCCCTCCCTCGTGGCCCATCTGGCGGGGAAGAAACTGTCGACATACCGATAGAGAGTAAGCCTTCTCGTCTTCGGAGCTCATCTCGCCCACAGACGTATGGTAGTACCCGGTGCCATGCTCGTAATGCCTCGAGGTCTAGTGCAAGGGAAATTTGGCCACGCGCCCCAACACCGGGCATCCCTCTTCGTCTAGAAGGGCTTCTCCATGGTCGTCGGTCACGACTATTTCTTTCTCATATACGGATTCTAAACCCATTGTGGTAACCGGCCTCACAATGTACCACTTGTCTTTAAAGCCCCGGACGGAATCCATGTACATTTTGAACAGTCTCTTCGACTGCTTCAAGGAAACCCAGCTATGTCTCCCTCCCCGGGACTGGCGTTATAAGTGGAAGACTCTGAAGAAAAGGGGTATGGTCGCCCCAATCTTTAGAAACCGACAAGTTAGCTCGAACGCCCTGATGAAAGCGAGCGAGTTCAGATGAAGCTGCGACGGGGCCAGCTCCAGATGGCTGAAGACCCCGACCTGAAAATCGCTGAAGGGCAGCTGTAGTCCGAGGTCCTTAAAGGCAATTTCGTACATAGGGAATCCATACTCGGGGAACTCCGAGCAGATCCGGGCGGTGAAAGTTGGTCGCGAGACGACAAAGTTCTTCTGAAAACCGGGTTGTCCGCTGCCCTTCTCAAGGATGGTGTATGCACTCTGACTACGTCGGCTATATGCCGAAGCAATCCCTATGGGCTCGACACCCACCCATTCCAGCAAAGGGTCCTCGATGGTATCGACCAAGTTTACATTTTCCTCGGCACTTTGGTCTTCCACCTCAGCGCGCCCCGAAGAACACGGTTCGTCGGCCATGGTTACCTACAAAGCACAGGAAACCGGTCAATTGGGGAGCAAATCCACGCGCTCGCCATAACGAACGGGGTGAAGAGCGCGACAAGCCATATCACTCCACGCGCGACCAAAAAGAGTTGGTGTCTCGAAACAAAAAGAAAAGTCACATCCCCGACTCCCAGATACCACGACAAGCCTCCCTACAAATCGCCTAAAAGGGCAAACATCTCGACCAATCACGAATATGTCAACCTAGGCTATGAACGTGGCGAGCGATATCATGAGTCTCAGAACCAGAGCCATGAGTTTACCGGGCACTACCAAGAATTAGGCGCCCTGAATCATGAAGATCCCGGGCAGCACTGCGAGTCAAATACCTAAACCATGCGTTTATCGGGCGTATACATGCGTTCTCCGGGCATAAACATGGATTTGTCGATCTAAATATAAATCTACCGGGCTAATCCCAGGCGTACAGCCTCTAAACGTCTAAAAACGATGAAAAATCATGCATCACAGAGGAAAAACGAAGGAGACAAGACACTTACTGGGAATCAGGAAGGTAATGTGACGACGGAGAAAGGAAATCAGCGACGGAGATCACGGCGGTCCTATGAGTATCTGGGAAGAACAGCAACAGCAGAAACAGAGTGAAGAGGAGAAGCGCGAACAGGGAAAATACGTTCTGGGGCCCAAACACCCTATTTATAGTGATGACGTGGAATACCAAACGTCACCCCGGGGAACCACAGAACTTCCCTCCTCGACGTGTAGCTCCCCTAGGCAATGATGACCTTATCGCCAGTAGGTTGGCGGCACGATTCCCAAGAGATGCCTCATGTGCCCAACGAATGCAGTCCGTCGAGACTCCCCGAGCGCTCCTCGCGCGGTATCATCTCGTATGCCCGACACGGGGAAATCTCCTCGAGCAAGCCGCGGGAACGACATATTCTAGCCGGGAACGGGACCCCGTGACGCAGGCGACCTGAGATCAAGTCATGACTCCTACTACAGGAACCACGACTTGGGGGGATCCTGTTTTGGACTGGGCCGGGCTGACCCAAAAGCAATGGTGAAGGCCCAATCCAAACGGTCTTGCAAAGGGTCACGCCGACCAAAAGGCCATATCCTTGCCCGACACTTTCTGCTAGTGCGACGTCCTCGACTCCATGCTATCATGCTCGACCTCAGCTCGAGCACTCCTCCTAGACAGACTCTATCCACTACGCCATCACCTGGATCCCGAAAAGACCGCGTCCTCGTCCGTCCGTACTTCACGCAGAACATCCAGGAAGGAGACCACGTGCGGGTCCCCACTACGCACGTAGAACCTGGCAGTTCCTCCATTGGACCAAACCTGTCCGGCCCAATGAAGGAACCTTGGCCCAGCGCTGGGGGCTATAAATACTCTGTGTTCCCAGAAGGTCAGGTATTCATTCTTTTATCCATACTCATACTCTTGTCTGCTCGTGCTCTTACTTACTTCAACATCGGAGTGTCTTGCAGGTACCCCCCACCTCGTTCAAAACTTCAGCTCAGAGCCAGCCGTGACGGTCCAAGTCTGATCAGGTTAGATCATATAGTTTGATTGAATTTTAAAAAATCAAATAAATAAATTTAACCGAATCCAATTTAAGGGAGTTCAATTTAGATTGAATTTTGGATATTAAAATAATAAATAGTAATTATTTTCATTTTAAAGTTATAGTAAAATAATAAATAAATTTGATATAAATGTTTTTTTTTTTACAAACTAAACTACTCTGTAAAGACAATATTTCTGTCTTTGAGAATATTTCAATGTCTTCCAAACATAAAATAAGTGCTTCTATAATCAAATTTCATGTTGTCATAAACTTCAGCCGCAGCAAATAAAAGCTGGACAAACAATATAGAACATTCTATCCGAACAGCCTTCATTCAATGTTGAATACATAAAAAATAATATAAAGTACAAAGTTTAATAACTATGCAAATATATGATATTATTAAAACTTATTACAGAAACAAGGCTCATATCAATTATCACAACATGCATAATTTTCCCTTTCTTTTAATCTTCAATCTTATTAATATATCAACATAATTAATAATTTTGCAAAGCTTAAAGCCTACTACTGATGTTAATATTTCCAACTTTATGAGATTTATCTTTAGGAACAATAACAGTGAGAACTCCATTTTCTATATTTGCCTTAATCTTATCCAATTTCACATCCTCAGGTAATTCAATCATCCTTGAGAAATCTTCTTTTCCATTTCCTCTCTCAGCAATATGCCAAACAATCTCCTTTCCATGATTCTCCTCTTTCAAACTTTCTCCTCTAAGATGCAAAACATTCCCTTCCTCAATCTGCACTTTTATCTCATCTTTCTTGAATCCTATCCAAAATCAAATTACCAATCAACTAATCGAAAATAATATATTCTTACAACAAAACATAGAATTGTACCTGGAACGTTGATTTTGATGATATGAGTAGTTGGGGATTCAATCCAATCCAAGAGTGCTGATGAGCCATAGTATTCTCTAAAAATTGGAGGATGGTCCAAGAAAAAGTTTCTAAAAGGATATCGAAAAATTGTGTCGGCCATTGATTTGACACTATTCTAACTAAACTGATGAATAAAATGTTGTCGGTTTAAATTTTGTGATATATGGTATGTGTTTAAGATGAGATAGCACTTCAAATAATTGTTGACTCTAATCATTATCTTCATAAATTCAAGAATTACTACAATAAAAAAGAATAGATAAACTTTTTAGAAATTCACTAAATATCTATGATGAATTTCTCCTTAATGACAATGTATTATGAGAACGAAAAGAAAAAAAAGACAAAACAAATAATTTCTGCAGAGTTTTTATCTGCTCACAAACTGTAAAAACTTTCTTATTCATTTTACAACTACAAAATACTGTAAATGACTTACTTGACTTGCTTACAAAAAATAGGGGTTACTCCCTCTATTTGTAACTGAGATTGCGTCCTAAGCCCAAAGCTCAAAATATCTATTTGGTTACTAAATCAAATCAAATATATTTTAGACTTAAATCAAATCTACTTAATCTAAAACAAATCTTATCTTTTCGACACTATAAATTATAATTTAACACACCACCTAATTCATTGTGTCTAAACTATTTATATTCATCATGACTCTTAGCCTTCTGAATACTTTGACTTGCACTCCCTTCATGATGTCTGTAATAGGATTCTCAGTTTTGCAGTGTTCCAAATTCATCTTCCCATCTGCTACCTACTCTCGAAGATAATGGAACTTCATTTCAATGTGCTTACTTCGATCATGTGTTATTGGATTCTTCGCCAGATTGATAGCTGACATGCTGTCTTCATGGTAATTGCTCCATGATCTTTCCCTGTTATCTCTTCGACCAAGTTCACCATCCAAGTTGTTTGACATGCACAAAGAGAAGCAGCTATGTATTCTGCTTCGCATGATGATAATGGCACTACTGGTTCCTTTCTTGAATTCCAAGCAAATGGTACACCACCTAGCATAAACACATATCCTGTTGTTGGCTTTCGATCTTCAACATCACTACACCAACTAGAATCAGTGTATCCCACTAACTTGCATTTTTTTCCTTTATCAGCTGCAGGAAACAAAATGCCATAATCAAAAGTTTCTTTGAGATACCTTAGTATCCTCTTCACTACTGCTAGATGTGATACCTTTGGCTTCTGCAAGAATCTACTTACCATACCTACACTATATGCTAAGTCAGACCTTGTATGACAAAGATATCTCAATGATCCAATAAGTCTTCTGTATTGGATTAGATCAACATCATCTTCATCTGCATCTTTCGACAGTTGCACTCTTGGTTCTGCAGGTGTCGAAGTTGAGTTGCATTCTTCCATCTCAAACCTCTTGAGAATTTCTGCTGCATATCTTCTTTGATGCATCATCAAACTTCTACTGCTCTTATAGAATTTGATACCAAGGAAATATGAAATCTCACCTAAATCAGACATTTTGAATTCCTTGCTGAGATCACCTTTGAAGTCTTCAATCTCACTTTTACAGCTACCTGTTATCAACAAATCATCTACATAGAGACATAGTATAAGCAATTTACTCTTGCTTCTTCTTACATATACTCCATGTTCAGTTGTGCACTTCACAAATTCCTTCTCCCTTAGGAAACTATCAATTTTCTTATTCCAAGCCCTTGGAGCTTGTTTCAATCCATAGAGGGCTTTATGCAGCCTGTACACCTTTCTTTCTTCGTCATGTTTCATAAATCCAACTGGTTGTTTAACACAGACTTCTTCGTCTAAGGGTCCATTTAGGAATGCACACTTCACGTCCATCTGACATATGTGCCAACTGTTTATTTCTGCTAGACCAACAACCAAGCTGATTGTTTCGATCCTAGCAACAGGTGTAAAATCTTCATCGAAGTCTATTCCTTCTTTCTGTAGAAATCCTTTCACCACAAGCCTTTCTTTGTGTCGAGTTACTTCCCCTTTCGAATTCATTTTCACTTTGTATACCCACTTGACATCAATTTCCTTCTTGCCTTGAGGCAATTCGATAAGTGACCAAGTATTGTTGTCTTCGATAGACTTCACTTCTTCTTTCATTGCTTTTACCCACTTCGAATCCTTCAATGCTTCAGCTGCATTAACAGGTTTGGAATCTGCATAGAAAGCATAATGTACCAGCTCACCTTCATCATCTATCACATCATCTGATATAATCACACAATCTTGCAATCTTGTAGGCATGCATATTTCTTTGAGGTCTGCTTGTACTTGGTATATCTGCTGGTTCCTCTTGTCGAACTTCTCTTTCGACTTGAGTTTCTGGTTCTTCGAATAGGATTCCCACTGAATCTTTCTTGACATTTTTAGTCCAATCCCATTCTTTAAACTCATCTATGATCACGTCCCTGCTAATCACAATATGCTTTTTCACTAGATCGAACAACATGTAGCCTCCTGTCGAATGATATCCAACTAGAATCATTTGATTTGACTTGTCATCAAGTTTTCTTCTCAACTGATCTAGCACATGTCTATGTGCAATAGATCCAAATACCTTCAGATGACTCAAGCTAGGCTTCACACCAGACCAATATTCTTTTGGAGTAATTCCTTCTATCTTCTTTGTAGGACATTTGTTCATAATGTATGTTGCATTCGAAACAGCTTCACCCCAAAACTCTTTAGGTAAATTCTTGCCTTTCAACATACTTCTCACCATATTCATGATGGTTCGGTTCTTCCTTTCTGAAATTCCATTTTGTTGTGGAGTATAGGGTGGCACCACCTCATGCATAATCCCTTCCTTTTCACATAGCCTGTCGAAGTCTTTCGACACATATTCTCCACCATCATCAGTTCTCAAAACTTTGAGTTTTCGACCACTTTGTCTTTCGACCATAGACTTAAACTTGACAAATACTTCGATCACTTCACTTTTCTTCTTGATCAGGTAAGTCCACAACTTTTGACTGAAGTCATCTATGAATGTAACAAAGCATTTTTTACCTCCCATCGAATCCACCTGGATTGGTCCACATACATCAGAGTATATGACTTCAAGACTAGCCTTCGATATGCTTTCTGCATCCTTGCTGAAGCTATTCTTGTGTTGCTTCGCCTGCACACATTCCTCACATACCTCATTTGGAATGTCGATTTCTAGAAATCCTGAAACCATATTTATTCTATTCAAATCTATGATGTCTCTGAAGTTGAGATGGCCTAGTCTATAATGCCATATCCATTTATCTCTTCTAGCTGCAGTCGAAAGGCACTTGTGATCCATCACATTTAGTTCAATCTTGAAATTTTGATTCTGAGACATGGGAGCCTTCAAGATTAATCTCCCATTTGCATCAACGACTCTTATCATCTTATCTTCGATTGACACTTTATAATTCTTTTCGACCAACGGCCATATACTGAGCAAATTGCTCTTCATGCTTGGTATGTACAATACATTGGAAATTACTGACCTCTTGCCATCTTTCCTCATAATCATAACATCACCAATACCTTCAGCTGCTAGGGTATTGTCATTTGCAAATTTTACCATATTTTTCGTTGAGGGCTTTATGTTGACAAACCAGTCTTTCCTTCCAGACATATGTGATGAACATCCTGAATCCAAGTACCATTGGTCCTTGAATCTATCTTCATCTTTTGTTGTGACCATCAATATCATCTCTTCTTCTTCATGTTTTGCAAGCTTTGCATCACTTTCTTGATTCTTTTGTTTTTCTGGACAATCACTCGAATAGTGACCATACTTATGACAATTGTAACATTGAATGTGACTCTTATCAGGTTTTCGACCACCACCTCTTCCTCTATTTGTAACACCACCTCTTTGGTTTCCTTGGTATGGTCTTCTTTGATTCGAAAAGTTTTCTTCGTTCTGGTTTCCTCTACCATTCGATTTGTTGTATCCGCCTCTACCTCTAACGAAACATTTTCCTTTGCCTTTGGTTTCTTTTGCTGAATGTACCTGCAAAGCCACATCACTCTTCGATTTGCCTGCAACTCTTTCGTTCATTCTTTATTCATGAGATTCAAGCATCCCTTGAAGCTCTTCCTTTGTCAATTTCGACAAGTCTTTCCCCTCTTCTATCGCCACCACTATGTGGTTGAACTTAGGAGCTAAAGATCTCAAAATCTTTGAAACAACAGCTCTTGTTGTTAATGTTTCTTCACATGCCTTGATTTGATTCACTATTTTTGTAACTCTAGTGAAGAAATCAGATATGCTCTCAATATCTTCCATCTGAAGCAATTCATATGTTCTCTTGTGAGTTTGTAACCTCACTTCTTTTACCTTTTCTGCACCACCAAAGGACTTCTCAAGAACATCCTAAGCTTCTTTTGCAGATTCTGAATCACTTACTTTTTCAAAGTTTTCTGGACTCACACATTGATGAATTATAAATAGTGATTTATAACTCAACTTCTCAATTTATGTGTGTTTCTTCTTTTCTTCTTCTGAAGCGTTTTCTTCAAGCGCTTCGACTCCATCTTTTACAAGGTCCCAAAGCCCTTGACACCTGAACAACACTTTCATCTGTTTGCACCAATTCTCATAGTTGTCTACTTTCAGAATTGGTAGAGTTGTTGGATAATTTGCATTCCCATAATTCGCCATCGTGAATTCTTCAATCGTTCTTGATTGATACTTCCCTTGAATCGAAACAAAGCTCTTGATACCAGATGTTGGAAATCCACCAAATATCTATGATGAATTTCTCCTTAATGACAATGAATTATGAGAACGAAAAGAAAAGAAAGAAGACAAGACAAATAATTTCTGCAGAGTTTCTCTCTGCTCACAAACTGTGAAAACTTTCTTATTCACTTTGCAACTGCAAAATACTGTGAATGACTTGCTTGACTTGCTTACAAAAAATAGGGGTTACTCCCTCTATTTTAACTGAACTTGCATCCTAAGCCCAAAGCCCAAAATATCTATTTTGTTACTAAATCAAATCTAATCTATTCTAGACTTAAATCAAATCTATTTAAATCTAAAACAAATCTAATTTTTTCGACACTATGAATTACAATTTAACAAAATTCAATCAATTA